CCGTTTGTTATTTTTTTTTATCAAAGCTGAGAAGCTGTAATGAAAACTAATAAAGTAGTGTACTCTGAAGAAGAAAAAAAAAAGAGTCTGTCTGTCGAGGTTAAAAAGGCAGCCAATCGCTGCGAACAATGAAGGAATCTCAGCGAATAACGTAACTCAAAATACAATTACATCTAACAAAAAAAAAAAAAAGAGAAAAAAATGCATGTGCAATACGCGCCAAGACAGTGAGCAAATGAAACAACGGGCGTATTGCTCCTGCACGCATATCGCATCTTTCAGGTCTAATTGTATTCTGGTCTTCATTGCACGCTGGAAGTCACCCGTTGTTCGCAATGATTGACTGTCTTTGTGCCCTACAGAAAAGTGAACTCGCAGACTTGTTTTCTTTTTAGTGCGGGTTGTGCGCATTTGTTGCATCAAGTTAAACAGTAGTGTTGCGGGGCAAGTGTTAGACACACGCACACACACACGCGGACACGCACGCACGCACGCAGGCACACACACACACACACACACGCAGACCTATCATGCGATCTTTTGGAGTATTAGGTGTAAATCTTCGATATGTCGTGCAATGTGAGAGTCAAAAGCGTAACAAACCCCTTCGAGAATGTTCACACATGATGTGTAGGTATTAACAAATGTGCAGATGAGGTTCTTGACACTGCAGCGAATGTCACGGGTACCCCAAGATCTCAACAGCCAGTTTTTCGTGCTTTCTTTATTTTTTCCCTGAAATACTCGAATAAATTACGATTGAATCAGCATGTAAACAATATAAACTTTGAGAGGTCATTGTTCTTAACTCAATGTTGAATACTGGTTAAGTGTACCATCCTTGCAAAGTCTCGGGTACTGCAGTACCAGGATAGGTTTTCCATTGTCGCAAGTATGTAGACAACTAGCATATGAGAATTTCAATACGTTTGAGCTTCAAAAAAAAAAATATATATATATATATATATATAGTTTTTATCGAGTTTTTTTTAACATTTTTACTACGAATTTTATTGCGCAGTCAAAATAAATCACAAAATTTCGGGACAGAGTACGTGTTTTTCGAAGTTTCGACGACGAGCCAATGAATAAAAAAAGGAAGTAAACATGTTCTTCGCCCACATCGCTTTTTAAACTTTTCTCTGCCCGCCACATTGTTTGGTCTACGCTCGCCCAACAGCAAAGAGAAACGGCCTTCAAACAATTGTTGTTTTTAATTTGCAAAAGCCTCAACCGCAATCACAACACACAAAAAAAAGATAAAAAAAACAAAAAAACATCGAGGTCCGAGTTTAAAAGCACGGCCCTGCACCGTTGCCCCGTCCCGACCGCCTAAAGCAGGTCGCATCCCTATTGCCGTAATCTGATTGGTCCGCCCAAACCACGTGATCACACCGGGCGAGGTCAGCTTCTAGACCATAAAGCACCGGATGACCAACAAAAGACCAGCCCGCGCCGTATAGCCAAATAAAAATAGAGGAATAAAACCCATAGTGGCCTGACACGCGGGCTCCGAGAAACGCACATGAAAAAGCGTTGAATCTGACACGTTGATTTCCGCTGATAATGAGCTACAATAAGCTTCTCTTTCGCGTAGTGTAACACACCGCCTGTTGTTTTTGTTTTTTCTCCTCTTGTTACAGTATAAGGTCACGTGTGCCCGGAGCCTGGAAAGTGGATTTGGTATATTTGTGGTTTTGTTTTGTGATGTCTGGACATACAATCGCTTATTGTGTTAGCGACAAAAGGCTGCTATGTCGTATAGACCCACATCTCCGGATGCTTCAATCATATTTATGTAGAACGCTCGTAACATGAAACGACCGCATTACGTGGTATAATAACAGCGGCCTCTGTAGCTCTGAGGCAAACTGCCACCCTAAGGCAGGTACAGGTTTCGGCCGCGTATACGATACCGCAATTCAGTGGCGTCTGGTGGATCGAATAAAAGTTGACCGTTTGCCGTACTTATGATGGTAACGAACCTGCAGATTGCAATATTTTATCGGGTACCTTCATTTTCGAAAGTCAATGGAAGATGAAAACGTGCTCTTCACCGCACAGTTCTCTCTCGGTCTCTTGCAGTTTCGATTATATCGAAGATACAAATAGTCAGAACGAAGCTCCAACACACATAGACGCATTAATAAGCTTTTATACATGAACGGGCTTTATAGCCGCTTGTGTGCCTCTAACACATTGCCTGGACGCGACTCAGAAATGAACGATTACGCAGCACCTGTATTAAATTTTTGGTGCGTACCGTACTAACGTTATGAATGTATATACCTCGCATCATCGGCTTAGGACTCGGGATCATCTTCAATTTCTTCCTCCATCAGTACCAGAAGACCGCCATAGTACGGCAGATATCCCATTCTTCAGATGATGACAGTCATCAACAACAAGGCGTGAAGTTGGGCTAACTGGTTCATAATGCAAACTTGGAAACAGCGCAAAAGAGACAGGGGGCAAGAACGAGAAATGAACGAGCACAACGCTGACTGGCATCTGAAGTTTATTCCTGCGAGGAACAGAAAGAAAAACATAAAAGATGCGAGATAGATAAAACATAATCCACCCCCTTAAGGCACGCCCGAGCACTTAAGCAAATCTGACGAATTTCTTAATGAAAGTAGCTTCGTCATCCGCCAAAGCCACGGACGGGGCACTAACACACGAGTCTGCTCCGTAGGTAGAAATAAATAACGCCTCATCAATTTCTCTAGTCACTTTGTTCTTTGTTGCGGTGACGAGCCAGAATCTTAATCTCCGTGAAAACCGGAGAACATGAACGCCTAACGCAGTAAACTGCAAGGTGTCTTGCAACTTCTCTGTTTGATTTGTGAGAGATCGAATGTGAAGGGAAGAGGTTGAACACTCATTCAAATATACTATTCGGGACACTGGAAAAAGTGATCAGGGTAAGAAAGCTGATTGGATAATCTCAAATGAAACTTTTGGTTATTAATATTTCGTTCTCCGTCTTTCTCATGTTTCTATTTCTACTGGTCAACAAGGACACCGTGTTTACATTAAAGGCGGGGACGAGGCGTAAAAAAGTGAAGGGGCTGTTTATCCGAAAGAGACTGAAGTGATTCTCCGTGAGTGGAAAGTGGAAATAGAAGACGGATGCAAAGCAACAATGAAAAATAAACTGAAGAAATAGATCTAAGTAGAGGACAAGAGAAAGAGATTGGGACCTTGCTGCAGTTATATAGAAACGCCCAGGCACGTAGCCAGGGGGGAGGCCCATGGGGCCCGCCCCCCCCCCCCCCCCCGAAACCCCCCTCCCCCCTCCCCCGAAACAAAATCCTGGCTACGTGCCCATAAATATTCATATTACTTGATGAACCGCTAAGTGGAGAAGAGTTGATTGACTACGGTAAATGATGCCACATTTCTCGGAGTTTCTAAATCTCAATTTACCCTTTATAAAATTATGTTTACTCAAATTTCAGTGATATGAGCAGTTTAAGAGTGTGTAAAACAACATTTCGTTTTTCTGACAGCACTGAACAAGTCTAAACTTCCACTTTTATTTAAAAGTGTTACTAAAAAAAAATCAGACTCACCATTTTTGTTTTATTCAACTATATGTAATTTCCTTTTGACTAGACGGCTACGCCCCTTCATAAAATTAATAAAACAAAAACAAAACAAAAAAAGAATACGAAAAGATTTTGATGACGAATAATCTGCTTAGTGACTCACAGAAGGAATATCAAAGTATAATTGTTATCCCAATGTGTAACAATATGAAACGTAGAACCTGCTGCAAATCACACGAACGTCCCAATGATGTCTTAGTGCAATAATCGTGTGCAGGAGAGAAGAATCTGATCGAGAGCTTCCCTTTGCATGGTCCCTTTGATTCATATTAGCCACGCACCAAAAAGTAGGCGAACTGAAGCTACCGCCTCTCTTTATAGAATACCCCAACAAACAACAAAAATGGAGTGTTCCGCAAGACGAGTTTATAGCAAGAAAATTGTCCTGTAGGCTTCCGTTATGCAAAAACGCTTCGAAACGTGTTTACGGGAACATAAAAGGAGGCCGACGTCTTCGCTCGAGTAAATGCCCGTTCGCCTATTTGTTTCACTCGCTGTCTCGGTCCATAAAATATAAAATGTGGTCGATTTAAGAGGTTGATCGGGGAAGATGGCATCTTCTTTTTTTTCCGGCATGCTACAAATAGAAAATTAAGGATTATTGAAATTTTTTTTATGACAGCGTCTTAGATGTGAAATCCAGACAAATGAACGTTACGATCGTTTATACTGCAAGGGCTGGACCGACCTTGCAATATAAACAGCCTAGCAGACGGACCGCTGGAAGTCCGTCTGCTAGGCTGTATAAACTAGAAAAAGACTTTAGATCTACTATTAGTAAACTTGAAATATAGTTCAGGTATACTTTGTGAAGTATACTTTTGTTTAATAAGGTGCAATATTAGCATACTTTCAGTGTATGGAATTTTGACGAAGCGGTAGTCTGGAGTCCAAGAACAAAATTCATAACAAGAGTAGCTGGTATTGTTGGAAGTGGTTGCAGATATAATATTTTGATTTATTTTTAATAGTAAAAAAAACACAGAACAGAATTTTTTTATGCAAATAAAGACGTGCCTTGTTCTGTGTTTTGAAGCAGACTCATTTCAACATCGGCGTATTACTAATAATTGAATTCAAAGATCTTACCCTGATATGTTAGAATTCTGTTAACTTTTTCCTTGCTTCATTTCGTTTCTTTGTTATTATTTTACTTAAAGCTTCGCCGTCACCTCACATACTTCGTTCGCATTACGGCGTTTTACAAAGAGGTGATACGCTCTTTTTTGAAACAATAAGCTCTGCTTTGCACACAGCCATCGTCAGTGAGGGACTTTGTAGTTTCTCCTCGCTTAATATCACACGACAATAAGAGAAACATATGAGTCAGTTATGCCAAAGAAAACCAGTTCTCGTACTAACTGAAATGAAGAGGAGGAAATAACTCACCACTTATGACGAGACAAGCCAACCACACAAACTTCATTGTGCCCGATGGTAGTCAACTCCAAGACGCGGTGTCACACTTGATGTCCGCGTTGTCGAGACACTTATGTCGACAACGAAACTATGTCTACTCGCACCGATTTAGATTCACATATGAAACGCGAAAACAGCGAAAGAAAAAAAAAAACAGCTTTTCACCGCACTTTCACGGGATCAAACTCCCCGGGCGCACCGTGAGTCGCATCACAGTGCGCGTTTGGCTGGAGGGCGCCGGATGGAATGAATTTCGCGGAGGTCGGGAAATTGTCGGGCCGCCGAGCGCGGACGCGGACGCAGCGCCACCCTTGCGGCTGCAACGTGAAACGCGGAGGCAGACGATCGTTCCTCTCCGCGGTGTCGGCTGTTTTCCAGCAATAAACAACAAACATCCTCAAAAAAAAAAAAAAAAAAAAAAAAAAACGCTTTCCGGAGAATGTTTGTTATAGAAAAAGAAAATGATATAGGGAGGAGGCGAAACAAAGAGAGTGAGGGGGGCGGGGGGGGGGGGGGGGGGTAGACGCGAGTCACGTGACCTGCTGACTTTTTTTTCTTTTCATTTTATTGCTAGGTTCATAGCCCATGTATTCGTCATATTGCCTTCTATCCGAAAAAAAAAAAAAAAATTAATCTCAGATTACGATAACTGTAATGCCTGATTTGGCGCTGTGGGTATTGCATAAATAAATAAATAAATAATAAATAAATAAATAAATAACAAAGACGGGGAGCGTGGACACACGCTGTTGTCGGACAATAAATGTATAGAAAAGAAGCAAGTTCGTATAAACTTAGCGGACATATATATATATGAATAAATTACACACAGAGATATAAATGCTGCAAATAGGCGTCGGCGAAGAGGTCGGTCGATAAAGTTAGAACCGAATCGAACTTTCTTTTTTTTTTTTTTTTTTTCGGGAGTCTTTGAGTCGCGTAGGTGATTACTAGAGCTGGGATTTCTGAGACATGTCCCGCCTTTCAAAAGTGCCCCGATGACAGTGTATGCTACCAGTACACATCTATCGAGCAATTTCCATTAGGTTTTCATCAACTTTAGTCCTGAGTTGTCCCGATTTTACCCCAAAAGGCCCGTTCACACTCTTGCAACCCGGCCAGTACGACCGAGAGAGACCAGACCGGTTTTCAAGCCTCTTGCGACGTCTTAAAGGCCGACGTACAACCTCGGTTTTCTGCAAGGAAGATAATCCTTTTAGCGTTCCTCCTCTCTTAAGTTGCGAGGGGAGTCAAGTTGGAGCAAGGTAAAAACTGGAGAGGATATAGACCTTTTCACCCTCCGCCGCATGGGCGCTGCCATCTTGAATCACGTGATGCGGCCGCCATTAGGTTGCTTCAACTTGTTGCTCCGCTCTCCCGTCCGCGCCTTGGCGGATGCGTTGAACTCGTGTTTTTCGTCGCGTTTCACCGCGTCTCTTGCCTTAAGCGCGAAACAAATGTACGACGAAACTGTCCGATCCGACGTCCGACCGCGCAATACGACGGTCGGAGGCGAGGGTTTTCGTAGCATCGGAGAGCGTTGAAAACCCTCGCCTCCGACCGTCGTATTGCGCGGTCGGACGTCGGATCGGACGGTTTCGTCGTACATGTGTCTCCCGCTTTACTCCGTAAGGCGTCGTCAGATACTCATACTTACCATGCAATTCCATTACATCATTATGCGCGCATCTTCTGTAGTTAATTTTGTAACACGTTTTGAGTATTTGTTTACCGTCGGCGTGCGGGATACAGGAATCAGCGTTAGCACTTGCGCACATTGAATGCATATATGACTTGAAGAGAGCCTCGAGGGTTCAAATATCAATATCTTAGGAGAACTGAGGTTTGGTTACTAATAAGGGCGGAACATTTGCAATAGGAAGCTCAATGTTATTATATATATGAGTGCGCATTGGTGTCAAGGAAGGAAACAAAAACACTCAGCGTAATTAGCCACGTGTTTTTCCCGAAAGCATGGTGTTTTGTAGTTACAACAAATCGAAAACAGTTTCTTTCGATTACACTAGAGAACTTGTGGACAAGACGCGGGAACAAACGTTTAGTTTGAATTATTTTTAATGCTAGAAATAACGGTACTTTAACATTAGGCAACTTGTTTGTTCGCTATATCACACTTATATCTGTTTTACGTTCTTAATCGCGTGTGCGATATAAGCATTCGCTTTATCGGTTTATTTATGAATTCCACGGAATTGTATATCGTGCGGTCCCATGTCCATAGTCTTTAAATTGCTTAAGTAATTTTTTTAATATAACTATGCAGATTTAATTAATTTATTTCAACACAAATATTTGGACTCCCCGCGTAAGAAACTGTCACAGTCAGCTTGATAGTGCCTATGATTCACAAAATGTGACGCCGAAAAGAATACTTCACCATGAAAATCACCCGAGTGCTGCCGGTTGTCGACGGCGAATAAGAAGTTACTTTCAGTAGCTGGCGACGTCAAAATGTGCAAAGCGCATCGCTTCAAATCAGTGAACAGCTTTCGTTCATTGGGTGGCGCCTGGCGCTCAACTTCAGTCAAGCTTATCGGAGATCATTTCTTTTGCGCTCTTTAATTTCATTCGGCAAATTTTACGGAAGATGAATATTAGACTTTATTTTAAGTCTGGCATTCACTTATCGCACGATTTTCATACCTTGAGAATATCGTAAGCAAATGTCCATAGAACAAAAAAGTTTATTTCATAAGGCCAATATTTTGAAATGCTGTTAATGAGTAGTTTAGTTAAAGAAATTTTCTAGTCAGCCTACGCTGGTGTATCAAAATATTTCTCGAGCGCTTAATTTCCTTAAATAAAACCTGTCGAGACAATATCACTTTTTATATTATCTACGTGATTATAAGAAACTTTCCTAGTCATTATAAAAGACGTTTCCAGTCTCGCAGTTATGAAAGGTTGGTGTACGGAAACCGAATATCGAACAGTAAACTTGTCAGTTCATCTGTTCTTGGTGATTCAGCAAATTGTTAATCATGTTGTCGACCTGCTTTTTCACTAAGCACGCATGCAATATAGTCTGTTGGAATATAAGGTTAGCAGTAGCAGCTCTGACTTGAGCGCGAGCTATCTACCTTCCGTACCACTCGGTGCACGCACAGCCAAAGCACGGCGGCAGGCAAGGAGCGCACGGTGCAGGCGGAGCTTGTCCTGCTCTTTATTTATTTATTTTTCTTCTGGAAATTGGTGTCCGCAAGTACGGCCGTGGACAATGGTACTTTTCCCTGTGCATCAGCGCAGTTGTTTCACCGCGGAACCTGGCCGAAATTAACGATGAACGGAATCAGACGCATATAGTGTTCGTAAAAAAAGATCGCAATTTAGGCTCAAAACCACTTCGTGGTTTGTCAAGTGGCTCAGTACTATTGTTTCATTCGCTGTGTGCTACAAGAAAGAAATTTATATCGCAAAATTAATCGAAAGTGGCATCAAACAGCATGACAATCGCGTGCACGTTGAAACCGAAACCGACCAAATTGAAGCAACTTAATGGCGGCGAGTGCGCCAGCGCCCTCTACCCGCCGGTCAAGCAACTACTGAAATGAAAAGGTCTATAGGAAAGGAGGAGGCGGGCAAGAGTGGAAAGCGCGAAGTGTACTTCGGCCTTTAAAACCGGGTGCGCTGCTGCGGAGTTGGTCCTAAGAAGTCGCAAGAGGCTTAAAAACCGGTCTGGTATCTCTCGGTCGTACTCGGTTGCAAGAGTGTGAACGGGCCTTAATTGTCCCGAAAGATTCAATATGTTTTCATTGTCTCAATTTTCCATTCAGTGTCGAGTTGCTTAACTGAAACGCCAGCTGAAAATGTGACTTTTACTCACTCTTAATATTTTTGCATTCGCAAGGAGTCCGCGTGGCATTGTTTCGCCAACGACTCCAACGCGTTCAAACCGTATGCGCCCCATTATATAAGTCAGCTGCCTTCCCTGCAAGGCTTGCAACTTGCATTGCTCACGCTCTGCACCGCGTGAAAAAGTAGAATCATGAGTTGCACCCTACGGTAAATTCATTTGTGTCTGACATAAAAGAAAGTGCCCTCAAAATCTGCGAAGCCACGTTCGCTGCTCACCTCCACTACAAACCTACCCTTACTTCCAGATCCCGTGGCAACCCGATTGGGCATATTTCTAAGAGAAGCAATGTACTACGAAGGAAACCAGGACAATGTGGCAGAATATAGAGAAGAAATTAAAGGGGACATACTGCCGCGAAGCTGCTGCAAGGAATTGTGACCAGCGCGGCTCCTGCCAGTGACCTGTATACCGTATCGAAAACTACGAATTTATTCCGAACTGCCATTGCAAGGCTGGATACTGCGGGGCTCGATGTAGAGACACGCAGTTTGGAATCTTGGATTTTGTGGCAGAGAAGTTGGACGACTCTGCGAAACATAAACCTCTTAGGTCGCTTGAGAAAAAAGCCGGATATTGAATGGGTACGTTCACGGAAAAACTCCAAATGGCGTTTATGAGTTGGATGCCGAACGTGCCTTCAGGTTTTTGCCGCTTGTCTCTGTAGAAGTTGAGCGATGTTTATCCGAATTCAATATTTTGTTAACAGAGAAAAGGCACAGCCTAAGCACACGAACACTTGGAATGCTCCTGACCATTTCCTTAAGGCACGTGAGTAGAACGTGTGTTTTGGTAATAAAAAAGCAGAATAAATATTTCAACGCTAATAAACACTCTGAGCGTACTCAAAAGGCGTACATTGTCCCGGAAAGTTTCCCGATTTATTATGGCATTTTCTGTTCCGATTTTGTTCTGATTTCAGTAACAAAAATTGTCTCGGAAATCCCGGCTCTAGTGATTACCAACAAGACACAAATTAAACACATGCTTGTTCACAACTATACATATCTTATCTTGTGTCCAGTTCTGTGACGTTCAAGAGTCAGAAAGATTGATTGCAAAGTGTAGTTGGCATATGCCCAAGAAAAGTTTGCTAAACGTTCGTTCACTTCCGCGGAGAAACAAGTGCTAAATTTTCCTGCTGGAGACCCGTATACGGTCCTCATCAGGAATTGGGCATATAGTTATATTTCCAGCGGAAGCATTGCGGGACTTGTATGTTGTCCGACTTTAGTATTGATAGTACATGACCTCTGAATGCAAACCCAAGCTGGCTATCCTGATTCCGTGCTAAAAATGTCTGCAAATTTTAGATTATCATGTTAAAACTTTATACAAAGATGAAAACTGGACGCA